CCCCCCACCTCGCCCCCCTTACCACCACAAAAAAAAATCATGGAAAAAATTATACCAGTAAAAATGGTAGTAAAAACTGGCCAGCCCTAGAATTTGTTTCGTCAATAATGCATTTTTTGTACAGGTGTACAATTTTTCGCAGTTTTTGGTACGCGTAATTTATTTTTGTCGCGTTTTCTTTGTTTTTCTGTGCATTTAAGTTTGGTTTCTTTCGTCCACACCATTTTTAATATTTTTTGCGCAGGAACAAATTACTTTTTCTACCGATACTTTTGGCGTTAACTCACTCGTGCAGATGCCCTCCTCGTGCGCCTCCCGGATGGGCCTGCCCTTGACGACGCACTGCAGCCCTTGGGCGCAGGCGCCGTGGAAGCCGTGGACGCCGCCGCAGGGCTCGTCCTCGACGCGCGCGCACACGCGGCAGCAGCGGCACGCGTCCCACACGGCGCCGCCGGGGCACTGCTCCTCGTCCAGCGGCTCGCACTCCCCCGGGGAGCACACGCAGTGCAGGCGGCGCAGCGCGCGCAGCGCCTGGTCCTCGTCGAGCGGCGCGCCGCCCGCGCCCGCAGCGCCCAGCACCCCGAGGGCGGACAGCGCCGCCAGCAGCCGGACCAGCGCCATCCCGGGCAACACCTACACCCGCACCATCTGAAACAATTTAGAAACACCCATTTACAACATGTTTACGATTTGCCGACTTGACCGCAGCAGCCCAGTTTTGCTCGACAATTTCCAATTTCATACAAGATTTGACACGTCGTGCTTGTGATTTTACAATTCCAAGTTGTAACTTTACAAGATGTAACTTAACAATTTTCAAGTTGTAACAGTACAATTTTTAAGTTGTAACAGTACAATTTTTAAGTTGTAACAGTACAATTTTTAAGTTGTAACAGTAAACAGTACAATTTTTAAGTTGCAACAGTACAATTTTTAAGTTGTACCTTTCTCACAGAGGTACCAGGTGGCTGATTCACGCCGCGCACTTTTGTAGATATACTGTACCGCATGCACGCGTGCGGGCGGGTTGCCTAATCGCTCGGGGCCGCAAGGAGCCGTGGGCAGCGAGGATAAGCAAGCCCGCCCGCACCAGTGCATGCGGTACAGTATAACTACGAAAGTGCGCGGCGTGTGTCAGCCACCTTGTATATACGTCAGCGTTTTGCTCTCAGACTCATGTGTTGGGAGCCGGGGGCGCCTGCGAGACTCGGGGTAGGCCAGTCCGCAACACACGCACGCGCTGCAGGCGAGATTTTTGCCTACCCAGCAGGCGCCATGAGGGGCCTGCATGATGCGCTCAACATGCGCAGTTTCGTCTAGGGTTGGAAACTCTGGAAAGTTTCCGTAAAATTTAAGGGAAATTTCGGGGGGAAATGGAAAATTTTCCAGACTTCGGAAGTTTTCCGTTATTTTCGGGAAATTTTCAGAAATTTTCAACTTTAGTTTCGTCATGGCGAATGGCCGTCTAGTCGTGCTTTCCGCGCGATTTCCACACGATCGCGTTCGTAAATGTGACAGTTTTGTTTTGCGATCAAAACTTGTTAAGTGAAATAGTGGACATGAGCTGATTACTCCAAAGTGCAACTCGTAGTTGAACACAAACATTATGCGCACTTCACTTGAAAAAAAAAAGAAGACGTGCAAGTACCGAGTCGACCTCTTGTAAGTGCACAACCCGAAGGTACACGCTTTCAGGCGTTGAAAGGTGACACTTTATTTGTCAGTGTACTCTCTCCTCGGCACACCTGCGAGCGGCACACGACAGGTGGTGTCACATCAGCAGGTGTGTCGCAGCTGAGAGAGGCTGGTGGTAGGCCTCTCTGGTGCGCCTTATGACGAAGTGTCGGGGGGTTGCTGTTTCTGTTTGTGGTGCCTGTGGTGGAGTTGGAGGGGAGGGGAGCTGGGAGGGGGTGGTTGGAGGGGAGGTAGGAGGGAGGCGGCGACGAGGATTCCTTCATCATGCAGCAGCAGGTTGGTCGAGGCAGCCCCTCCTCCCCCATCCCTACCAACCGACCACCACCCACCGACAACGTGCGGTGACAAAATACCAGACAAGGAGGATTGGAAAGTGGAAAGTGGGTAGTGGGGTGGTGGTGGTGGTATGGTTACTGATCAGAATAAAACTTCTGTTACATGTCGAAGGCTGGCGTAAGCAGGCTGTCAGTAGTACTGTCAGGTCTCGGCTCAGACAGACGGCCGCCACCGACCGGCCATCGCCACCACTCTGCTAGGCGGGGTGAAAGGGTTCTTGCGGGACGCCCTCCGTCCCCCCTCCCGTCTACCCGTCAGAGGTTCAAAGCTCCGTAAGCATTTTCTTTGCGATCCCCTGCCGTTGCCGAGGCCGCCAGGGGCAGGGCGTAGCGGGCTCCCTCGCGCCCGCTCGTGCCCGCTTTGCCCTCTGACCCTACACAGTGTTTACCGCCCCCCCCCCCCTACCTCTGCAACCCCCTTTCTTATTGGCTTGTAGTCCAGGCGCCACAAAACCCGCATCAGAAATGGCGCACTCGAAGAGCTCGCGGGAGGAAGGGGGGGGGGGCGAAATAAGGGCGCGAAATACGATGTGGCGGGTTTGGTCCGCGTGACGACAAGGTGACGCCGAGGTGACGTTCTCTGCGTGACGGCGCACTAGCTGGACCCTGCTCTGGCGATAGGTCCCACCGGAGGCCCCACCGGCCCCACCAGCGATGGTGGTGGTTCTGGTGCGCCCTTGAGAAGCAAAGGGAAAGGCAAGACGGTCAAAGAAAAAGGCGGCGCATACTGTCGAAATTGTGTGCCCCTTTAGTTGGTTTCTGATGTGACGTTCATGTTTGCGTGAAATTTGTCAAGGTTGTTTCGTCGAAAGAAATGTCATCGCGCACAAACAGGTGTGGTGGAAAGAAAATCACACCATTATTGTAGATGTGTGCGATTGGTGACATTTGTGACAACTTGGGTGACAACATATTCGTATACCAGGTGGCTGACAAACCCGTGCGCAAGGATGCGGGATGGTATAAGTACAGATGTGCTAGGATTCGGCTGGGTTCGGCTAAAACTATACGGGGCATTTGTAAGTACGAGTCATATCTCCATCTGCACTTCTGCACAAGAAGTCTGAATAGCCATTCGCCATTCGTCCCCACGCATATAACAGTGGGAACGGGTTTTGTCACACACGTGTCACAACACTATGAACAAAGTTGTCGCTCGTCATGTCACGTGTCACGACATTGTGGTGAAACGTGGACACCTCCTTTAAACATCCTCCAGAGTCCGACGGTGCCCGGCAGTCCGCTCGGGGTGGCTTCTGTGCGCAAGTCGGCGCAGACGGCGGCCACCTCCACGACACCGAGCCTCCCGCTGCTTCTACTTTGTCTCCACGACGGGGAATGTACCTCTGCTTGTTTCTTCTTGTTCGTGTTTTTTCTTGTTTGCCGTCTTTCATTCTCTGACCTTCCTCCCCTTGCTGCTCCCCTCGCGTCGTTTTGTCTCCGGCCTCCGCTTGTGTCCATCGTCGTGCATGGTTGCGGTACTTGTGCAGCCGTGCGCCGCCCCCAGCCCCTCAGGTGCGCCGCCCCCG